CGCCTCACCCTTCCATACCTTCAAACCCCTCTGGAGGAGGAGCTTCCTCAGACAACTTGCGTGTGAAGTAGGTGTCATTACAGGCCAGGTAGCACACTCCTATCTCTACACAAAAGTCACAGAGACAGTCAGCGTATGGAAATGCAGTCAGGTAGGGAAGGTCCATCTGATGCAGGTCCCTTTCCCTGCCTGAAGTGGAGACGGTTACCAAGCTTCAAATGAATCTTTTCTCCTTGTGTCTAAGCGTTTTCCTGTGTTTGACAAGCAGCGCACCACTAGAAAACCCGGGTGTACGACTAATGGTTTGAAATCCGAAAATTGGGCCTTACAAGGCTGAACAAAGCCATTGAAAAGTTTCAGGACTGAGCAACAGTGCATCTATTTTCCTGATGAAAGGAACCTGCCATCAAACCTACTACAGCCGGGCTAGAAAAAAGTTTTAAATAAATGCGATTGGCACAAATTTTGCACCTCAGCATGCACACACATGTACTGATTTCCTCGGGGTGACAGGCAAATCCTGCTACTTTACTTACGAAAGGGCTTCAGGAAGCAGGGGAAAAATTGTTGGTGCAACCCGTTCCCTTTTAAATTAAACATATTCAGGTTGATAGAGACTCCTTGTTCTTCGCCTGGCCTGTTCCGCAGCACAATAGCCATGTTCTTTGTGTTAAAATAAATCTTGTGTTTGCATACTCTGACTTTCATTTCCTGACAGCTGGACATCCATTCTCTGGGAACTAAATGAAAAGCTGCTTTTCTCAAGCATAAAGTCTCTCTAGCTACCAAGAACCCCTCCAGCCATAGAACCAATATTTTGGCATAGATAATGACCGTCCCCCACACAGCTGAAGACTACTTCACCACATTCCCAGTAAATTGCTCCTGCCCCCATTCCCAGCGTGAGTGGAGTGGGGAGAGCAGGGTCTGTGTTCCTGGTGCTTCTCAAAGCCCTGTGACTGAGGGAGGGGAGAAAGAGTTCGGGCGTGTCTACATGGAGCTGCAGCAATGGGGGCGGGTGACATGATCCTCACATGGGTTACCTGGAGTTGTCTGCAGACCTGGTGTAAGAACTGAGATTCAAATTCCTTCCCCGGGTCACCACAGATGAAGCTTGGTGGGCTAAACTGCAACATGGCATGATTCACCAATGCTGCCTTGACTGTCCTAGTCCTTTTATCCTTCAGTGGCTGCACCACCGTTGACTTTGAGAGGGTGTCAGACGCTATCAGCTAATACCGATTTCCAGCTGGTGTTTCTGGTAATGGGCCTTTCAAGTCAATCTGTATGAACTCCCAGGACTTACTATGTTGGGGCATTTCCCCTAAAGGAAATTTGTCTCTTCTTGCTGGTGCTTTCCTGTCTTGACAGATAAAAAGTATTCAGTCCTTAACATGCGTGGCCATGTCTAACCAAAAAAATCTGCTGAATATGCCGATCAGTGTCTTTTCAGACCCAGGTGGCCTGCACTTCGTTATCATGAAGGCCTCCAGTACTGTTCCCTGTAAGACAATCCTGTTATCTTCATACACCAGCAAATTGGTAGCTAGATCAATGGATAATCGTTCCTGAACTGCATTGAACCTACCCAGTCTGGGTCTCCTTCAGTAGATCTATCGGCAAACCAAAGGTAACTCAGGGTCCTTTCACTGTTTTCGCCAGATGTCATCACAAGACGAGTCTGAGTCTGTTCTCACTGCCCTCACCTCAATTTGTTCAAATGTAAATCGGACAGTGATCTTTGAAGCATTACAAGTTATTAGGAATAGATGGAATGGGCCCAAGAATTTAAAATTCACAGCTGATGATCTCTGCTCCTTGAGAGGCTTTGAGATGCCAGCTACACTAGACACTGTCCCCAAGATCTGATTTTTCATTAGCTGCACTTCCTGGTCAGTCACATTAATTGCTCTTACCCAGAACTCCCAGTTTGGTCCTGCTCAAAACAGAGTTCCGCTAAACAGCAATCCCAACTGGATATTCATAGCTTCAAACTCTCCTACAGGTTCACTGCCGCAGTCCTTTACCCACAGGGGTGTTATTGCATAATGTCCTAGCTTCACCATAACTTTATTCTGAGCTATTCATCTCTGTCACTCTGTAGGCATGGCCAAGGCACGTCTAAAGTTGCCTGCCACGGTCCACACTTCCTCCTACCTACATCCAGAATGGATAGCTGAGTATTATCTAGGAACAAATTTGTTTTACTGTCCCTCCCACGAGTTCTTGTGATGCCCTCAATGGAATCCATTCCCAATACAACAGCCCTAGAAATATCTGTCACCGCAACAAAGTTCATAGCACCCAGCTGTTCCTTTTTCTTTAGAAGAACTTTAAAGAGATCTTGTCAAACCCTAATACAATGTCAGTGTGCAAGGATTTTCATCCTTTTATTCTTGTTCTAATAGGGTCCTGTCCTAGAACCTTTGACAACATATCAAAATGTCACCTGAACTTACGTTCTGAAGCAAGTTATTACAATGATGTTTGACACCATGTGTGCCTTTGGCTGGTGTTTTCCAGATGGCCTGTGCTTTGCAATCTGCCTTCCAGTAATTGTCGGGATTCTTATGAAGTAAAATAACTGCTGTGTCACTAATGTCATGCATGGGTTCTGCCTTAAACACTAGGCTTCTACACCCACTCCAATTTGGTCCGGTGAAAGTTTGACCACTCAGTACCCCTGTGGATGTTTTGTGCAGAAGACTGACAAAGCGCCGTGACTCAGAATGGTGCAGCTAGACGTTCACCCTTGTGCGCATACTGAAGTCAGTTGCTGAGTTTCTGCTGAATAGCAAACATCAATGGTCACCTTCTCCATACGTCTCCACAGGCAGCTCAGTGCCCTGCAGGACTGAGGCCATGCATCCAAAAGGGGGTAGGGGGTGAGGAATATAAAGACAAATTACAAGTAAGGGCTTTGGTTCCAATTCCTGGCACCAGCGGTTTTGGCACGTTTATTCCGTGCAAAGAACGTCAACCAAGGACATCGAACAACTAAAGAGTGAAAAGTACTTTTTGAACCCAGCACATGTTCTAATTATTGGAGTGAAAAAATGCTGCTGAATTTGGCATTTCTAACCTTCAAATTCCACCACACACAGTGTTGTCAAACGACGGCACCTCTGAAGTGCAAGCATTCTCCAAAGTTTATACAGTTTCTGCATACTGTCTCCAAAATAAAAATAAGGTTTTTGTAAGGGTGCAGTGCACTGCCCCATTCTGTATGTGGATATTGGGTATGATGCTTGGACAGGACTGGAAACACCTTATCATAAATGGAGGCATACAGCTTAAAACAAACCAACCAACATGCTTAAAAGCCTAAGATCACACAAGAATTGCCCATATGGAATTAAATCCACATCAACTTCACTTCACAGGTCCATAAAAAGGTACAGAATGGAAGAGCAGACAAGTCAGCAGGCAAACAAATCAGTCTTCTTACTCTAAAAAGAATAAGCAAAGTCATTAATTGGGTTGACTTTTGCATTTATTTGGCTAAATATTTGGTGCACGTGAAAACATTTGAAAAAATTTCATACAAATGTGCCAAATCCTATTATTCTTTATGAATTTAGAACCAAAAAAGGTAAGTTATTGTGTGCATCTTTCACTCATTTTTATAGACACATTCCAGTGACTGTTGCAAATTACTGGATCAAAGTAGAGAAGATGCTTATGGTAAGGAAAGAAAAGACTTCTGTGACCAATATAAAAAGATTGTTTTAAATTTCAAGTACTATTTTCCCCACTAAATGCAAGAAACTGAAATTCACTGTTTAAGGCATGAGAAATACAGGATCAAGATTTTATCTGGTTGAGGTAAATAGGAGTTTTCTCACTGACTTTAGTAAGGCCATAAAGAACAGGGAGGAGCATTTACTCACATTCTGGGAAAGTAGGCAGCTCCATGGACATTAAGATGAATTTTAAAATGAAAAACTGGATCCATTTATAATCATATTTACCACTGGAAGTTGAGTCAGCTATTCTAAATTACTTCCCTCAAAAACCTAAACTCCTTTTCATGGGTTGCTAAATTTAATTACCAGTTCTGTATATTTTAAAAAATTTAGTAGAAAGTTTAAACACAAACTCCTAGGGAAATCAGCACTGCTTCAAACAATGCTGGTAGCAAAAAACATTTAATTCCAACTACCACAAAACTTTCAAAAGCACTAATTATTTAATATTTAAAAAGGCTACAAGTAATATGAAAATTTGGATTAATTAGCACAGGTCCAAACTAATACCCACTTCTCTCAGATCTATATGGAGATTAACCTGAGTGTGTGTGTATGCTGGATACCATAAGAAAGCTAAAAAGAACAAGGAGGACTTGTGGCACTTTAGAGACTAACACATTTATTAGAGCATAAGCTTTCGTGAACTACAGTTACAGCATCCGATGAATTGAGCTGTAGCTCACGAAAGCTTATGCTCTAATAAATTTGTTAGTCTCTAAGGTGCTACAAGTCCTCCTTTTCTTTTTATGGATACAGACTAACACGGCTGCTATTCTGAAACCTGTCATAAGAAAGCTAGATAGTGTATGGGACCTTAACAAGGAAATATTTACTTTACCACTTTACTGACTGACAAAAAAATGTTTTTATTTTCCTGTACTTAAAATATGTCATACTGAGATGTTTATGATAAGGGTTTCTTTCTTTTTCTTAAAAGTAGCCCACCGTATAATCATTTACCAGACCCTCATTAAATTGATCAAATACTTATTATCTTTAATTGAATTAGTAATTTTCTTATATGGACAGTAACTCACACTAGTATGTTTATCACTATTCTAATGAGGATATACTTTTTCCCTTGGGCAACAGGGTGAAGGAAGAGGAATTAGGTAATTGAAGAATCTGGCTACACTGTATATCTACATAGATTAATCTAAATCAATCATTTTGAATATAAATGTTGTCATGGAAATGTAAACAAAAATATAAATGACAAAGTATTTTTTCCCAAATAAAGCAGAGTGTTGATTAGAGTGGAGCAAATAATTCACAATGAATAATTTATTAGACAAATTTTACCTTTTCCCCCATTTACAAATTGTTCAGAAACAGATCATGACATTATCTCATTGGTACATTACTCAAAATTATTCACAAATTTCAGCAAACGTTTGTGGTCTGCAATGTGTACTTCATTGATTAGTTACTCAAGCCACTTGGTAGTTTCTTCTGTTCCCTGATTGAATGATTTGTGTAAATAATCAACAGCTTGAATTATTATAACAGTACAAATGACTCTATAATCAAAATAGGATTTTTAGTCGATATAATCACATCTTCTTGTCAACTTGTTTGAATGGGCCACCTTGTTTAAATTGGCCTCATTCGCATTACAAAAGTGATTTCCACCCCTTCTTATCAACTGTTGAGAATAGCCCACTTCCACCTTAATTGAATTGGCTCATCAGCACTGACCCCCCCACTTGGTAAGGCAACTCCCACCTTTTCATGTGCTGTGTATTTATACCTGCCTACTGTATTTTCCACTCCATGCATCTAATGAAGTGGGTTTTAGCCCATAAAAGCTTATGCCCAAATAAATTTGGTAGTCTCTAAGGTGCCCCAAGGACTCCTCGTTGTTCTTGTCTGAAGTATTTGCGTTACTAACGCTTGAGCATTCAAACGTTTGTGAAAAGTGAACAAGAAAAGTTTTTTTCACAGCCAATCAAAATTCTTTTTTGGAAATAAAGTGACTATTTTGAGAATTTTTTTCTTATTACTCACATAGTGCGGCTATTGATTCGTACGTTATGCTGAATATTCAGAATTGTAATAACTACTATTACTTAAAGAGTTTATTTTGAAAAGTTGGCAACCATTAGATTCACTGCATACATACACCCATAGATACCGTATGGCACGGACACATTTGGAAGGACGGTACTCAATTTCACCTCCAATGGCTACTAAATCAACTGAATCACATGTCATCTGTTTACTGGTACAGTAGAAGAATGGACGGTCCTTTCACTACTACAAATAACGGTATTCAATTTTTTTTCCTATTGTGAGGTACACTTTTTGTATCTGAATACAAAGAAATCATTTTCAGGCATGGAGTGTGATACAAGCACAAATTATCTAAGGAAGAAAACTAACCTATTTATTGAAAGCAGATTTTTTTTTGTTATTGTAAAAATTCATAAAAATACATCAATCGATGATTAGGCTTTACTTTTGCCTGCCGACTCTTTAGGACATTAAAAATGAACTCAAATGTTTTTCCAAAAAAATGTGGAAACAGTATTTGTTGGATTAGGGAAGAACCCTGTCGACAGGAGTCAGTAAGTTACTAACTATACCTTATTCACAAATCCATCAACTACATTATTTTGGAAAAAAACACACGCAAAAAAACCCCCAGGAACTTTGTGGAATTAAATGTTAATTAACGTATTCCTCAATCCAGAAATTTGCAGATTGAGGATTCACTAATTTTCGTACCGTCTGGGTTTGTCAGATGGATAAATTCAGCAATACTGATGACTGCTTTAAGGAACCCTAATAATTCTCCCTACAACAAGAATGTGAATGTCACTTCTGTGAATCACAGACCCTCTACAGGCAAATATCTTCAAGGAGTCATTTGTTTTCCACACTAGCCACTGCTTTCTTTGCTGCATCCTCAAGGTCCCTTGCAGAGGTAATTGGTAATCCACTTTCATTCAGAATGCGACGTGCCTCATGAACATTCGTTCCTAGAAAGGAAATTGAAAAGGTTAACTAATGAATACATGTTGCAAATGCTTTCTATTAACCCTTCATCAACCTGGTTTAAAGCATTAAACCTGATTTAATTTTGCTTTAAAGAGAGAGGAGTCACGTAGGGGTTTGAGCCCAGGAACTCCTAAAATCTAATTCCAACTCTGACAGTGCCTACTTCTGTGGCCTCAGATAAGCTGCTCTCTGATAATAGTACTTACCTATATCACAGGAGTGTTATGAGGATTCAGGGGCCAATCCAATGTCCACTGAAGTCAATGAAAAGACTCCCATGGATAATGGACCATGCTCCATTCCATTAACGTTTGTAAAACACTTTGAAGATTAAAAGCACTGGACACAAGTTAGGGGTATTATTATTACAAAAGAAAACCCACCACAGTTATTAATGATAACTCTAAAATCCACCTGTGATGGCCTCAAAGGAGTAAAATTATTATTATTTTTATTTTTAAGAAGCTTGAGGTTTCTGCGCAATCCTGAGAATTTGACTGTTTGGGAGTAGCTGATGCAGGTAGCCAAGGTATAGTCTGACCCTCTGACCATAAAGTACTTCTGCACCTCTGCTTAAAGTCCAGAAGGACTGGAGATGGAAGAGCATTCAACTGTAAATTATTCAGAGAATGAGCATGACATTATCCTTTGTTCCCTGAAAGATATCAAATACTATAATATCATTTGTAAGACTGTACAGCTATTGAGCCTATGTGCTCTGTTTGTAGACAAATACTTCAAATACACTCAACAGAGCACTCTCATAGTCATGAAAAAAGGCTATAAATTGAGAGAGACATTTCGGGGAAATGCGTGTTTCACACTGTCAGACTCATATAAAAGGCAAATGCAGAGTTAAATGAGAACAGATTAATGAAAAGAGATGACTGATTGTCACTGAAGCTCTTCGTTTATTAATACTGCACAGGGACAGGTCCTTGAAATGTTCTGGCACAGTGATCACATATATTTAGTGTTTCCCCAGAAGTCTCTTACCTGGTTTGATGCAATACATTTGGCACCTCCTGGAAACACCAAACTGAAAATGATGGGCAGTTTTTACTTGCATTTCATGATGGGTGAGACAAAGGATTTAGAAAATTACTGGCAGACTTTCTCTCTCTTAACCCTTTCTGAGGATTTACTAAGCACATACTGAACATATAAAACTTCCAAAAGGAGGCGGACATGACACTTAAAAGGTAGGCTGCTAGGTATCTGAGACCCCAATATGGAGGATTGTTAAGAACTAGGCAAACTGTTCACAACCATCAGTGTGTTCAGTAATGTTAAGTTTATTCTCCTGTTCATTCATTGACTGCAAACAGGCTCTACTTTTTACTAAGATGTTCTCTGTATGTAAAACAACACTGGGTCAAAACAGTGCATTATAGAAATATGTGAAAGAACCTGGAATTTACTGAAAATGATATTCATATTCAAAATCACGATCTGACTGTGAAATCACTTTGCCCAGTATGTTAAAAGTGTGCCAGACATAATGGGACAAATTCGTCCCTGATTTCAGGCATCATAGATGCTCAGATATGACAGAAATGGGAGCGATATAGTTCCCTAGACATCTAGATGAAATAGACCCTGCAACTCATCAAAATATGAGCCTATCACTAGATTTCCTGAGTTCTTGATGTCCTCTGTTGTTGCTATGCGTTCCAAAGTCTACACCTTCACCCTCAAAATCCCCATGCTTCACAATGCCTCATGGCCACACATCCACTAGACCATAATATGGAGTGTTCATGCTCCTCTGGGAACTGAGGAGCTCTCTCTTAAAACACTCCTAACCCTTTAGTTGTTGGGGAACACTTGTCAAATAGTCATGTGAACTAAGGTTGCTAAGCACCGAGGTAAGAGAACCGTGTTAATTTTGCCAGATATAAAGTCCTAATGTAATCATTTCACTGAACTGTGCTTAGGAGTGACAATATTGATTTTAACCTTAAAGAGTCAATATTTTCACAGCTCCAACAGCCAGTAAAATCTCTCACTCTGAACTGTAGAAATGTTTCACTATTCCCCATAATTTATGCCAGACTTAAATTTATACATTCTACAACCCTGTTTGGTTAAATCAACAATCATTTTCTATTTGGAGTCCAAAAGAAATCCAGGGACACAACTGCATAGAACACTGATGTGCTGGGCTTATTTCTTTAGCATCACTGAGACGACGTGTTGCCAAAATGGTGCACGTCCACAGAAGCATGGTTATACCAACTTTATTGTATGGCAATGAAATGTGGGCACTGGGAAGTGGTGGACTGACATTTTTGATTCTCTTAGTCTTTGTCAGCTGCAGTAGCAGGACAAGATCAGAAACAGGAGTATTCGTAGCCGAACCCCGCAACTGCCTCCATCAGCACTGGTTCAATTTCAGTGCCTTTGGTATGGTCCTGTTGTTAGAGTGGAAGACCAACAAATTATGAAACATGTTTACCAAGGAATGCTGCTACACACATCTGGCAATCATGTGGGCACCAAAAGCTTCGGTGGTGAGATAAGATCACCACTGATAGACATAGACTGAACATCCAGCCAAATGGTCTTAAGGACCTAGCTAGAGATCAGTCTGGGTGGCACTCAGTCTGCAAACACCATTATCATCAAGGCAAATCCCAAAAGATGCATACTCAAGTCCAAGATAGTAAGAACTAAGAGGTAGAGAACATCTGGTGTGAAGTCCTCCTCATCAATTTAGACCATGTACACTAGGTAGAAGCCAGAGCAGCATAAAGGGGCTCAAGAAGTCCCAGATCCAGCTGAGGCAAGATTCCCCTGGCATTGTGCCTGAGGAAGTCAGCCATAAGGTTGCCTGCAAAGTACCCCCCGGCAATCCTTGGTGTAGGGTGATGCATGGGCGGCAGGACACTTTGGGGCAGGGCTGCACCAGGTTCTAGAGTGGAGATTTTGGGCTTTGTTGCAGCCCATAAGTTAGTGCAGACAGCCTAATGTAGTTCCCAGGCCAGTCTAATTTACACTGGAAGCCTCTCCAGCCCCCAGAGCAGCCCAAGATTGGGAAGATGCAAAATTAACTTAAAGCCACTTAAAGCCACTGTAACTCCTGCGGGAATGCTGAGAATGAAATCCCATGTATGTGTGTCATGCATTTCTGTTATCTAAACATTAATGGGATAGTATTGCTGGTGGAAGCCACGGTCTTTATGTAATACAGATGGACTGCCTCTCTTTTCAAGTGTAGAAGATAGTCTCAAGGTAGGGGATGTATCAGAAAGTGGTGTGGCACCTGATCTCCACCAACTTGGTGTTTTTAAATAAAGCTTTTTTAAAAAAATGTAAGTTAAGTTTTCTACAGTGTGGACAGATGCGTAGATAGACCAATGTTTTATATATCAGAGGGGTAGCTGTGTTAGTCTGGATCTGTAAAAGCAGCAAAGAGTCCTGTGGCACCTTATAGACTAACAGACGTATTGGAGCAGAAGCTTTCGTGGGTGAATACCCACTTCATCAGTTGCATGCAGTGGAAGTTTCCAGAGGCAGGTATAAATATGCAAGCAAGAATCAGGCTCGGGATAACGAGGTTAGTTCGATCAGGGAGGATGAGGCCCTCTTCCAGTAGTTGAGGTGTGAACACCAAGGGAGGAGAAACTGCTTTTGTAGCTGGCGAGCCATTCATAGTCTTTGTTTAATCCTGAGCTGATGGTGTAAAATTTGCAAATGAACTGAAGCTCAGCAGTTTCTCTTTGAAGTCTGGTCCTGAAGTTTTTTTGCTGCAGGATGGCTACCTTTAAATCTGCTATTGTGCGTCCAGGGAGATTGAAGTGTTCTCCTACAGGTCTTTGTATATTGCCATTCCTAATATCTGATTTGTGTCCATTTATCCTTTTACGTAGGGACTGTCTGGTTTGGCTGATGTACATAGCAGAGGGGCATTGCTGGCACATGATGGCAAATACTACATTGGTGGACGTGCAGGTGAATGTACCAGTGATGGTGTGGCTGATCTGGTTAGGTCCTGTGATGGGGTCGCTGGTGTAGATATGTGGGCAGAGTTGGCATCGAGGTTTGTTGCATGGATTGGTTCCTGAGTTAGAGTTACTATGGTGCGGTGTGTAGTTGCTGGTGAGAATATGCTTCAGGTTGGCGGGTTGTCTGGGGGTGAGGACTGGCCTGCCTCCCAAGGCCTGTGAAAGTGAGGGATTGTTGTCCAGGATGGGTTGTAGATCACTGATGATGTGTTGGAGAGGTTTTAGCTGAGGACTGTATGTGATGGCCAGTGGAGTTCTGTTGGTTTCTTTCTTGGGCTTGTCTTCCAGCAGGAGGCTTCTGGGTACACGTCTGGCTCTGTTCATCTGTTTCCTTATTTCCTTATGCGGGTATCGTAGTTTTGAGAATGCTTGGTGAAGATCTTGTAGGTGTTGGTCTCTGTCTGAGGGGTTGGAGCAAATGCGGTTGTACCTCAGTGCTTGGCTGTAGACAATGCATTGTGTGGTGTGTCCGGGATGGAAGCTGGAGGCATGAAGGTAGGCATAGTGGTCAGTGGGTTTTTGGTATAGGGTGGTGTTAACGTGACAGTCACTTATTTGCACCGTGGTGTCTAGGAAGTGGACCTCCCATGTGGATTGGTCCAGGCTGAGGTTGATGGTGGGGTGGAAGCTGTTGAAATCATGGTGGAATTCTTCCAGGGTTTCGTTCCCATGGGTTGAGATGGGTCCACTCCATTATGTTAGTGACCTAACTGCACTGACCCTACAAACCTAACTCCCTTTTTTAAGACACCCTCGCCCCTGCTCTTTTGATCCTGCTCTTTTTTGCTTATTTAATAGACAATTTTTAAGAGTACAGCACAAAGGCAATCCTACAAAAGGCAAGCCCAATTCCCCTTTGCCGCTAGAGTGTAATTAATGTCATCTCAATATTTAACAATCGATGCTGCTTCAGCCCTTTAATCAATGCTAATCCTAAATTTTAAAGACTCTTGCACACCACTAGTGATTATGTC